TTTTTTTTTCTTCTTTTGAAGAAAATCGGCGCGTTTTATTTGTACACCTTGTTGATATTCCATTTTTGCGTGTGAAAAACAGGGGAGCAGCGAAAGTCGCGCAAGTGTCCGGCCCACCTCCCCTTCTTTAAATTACAAACACATCAAGATTGTATTGCGTGCCGCAGCGCGCCCAGAAGAATAAAAAAAAAAAAAAAAAAAAATTGAAAGCTTGTTTTAATGGCTTTCCCGAGACCGCCTGCTTTCTGTTATACATGTACCTCCGTGTGGGAATGACATGCATAAGAGTGAGCAGCTCGACCGAGGCTTTATAATACGCTATATTTTGTGATGCTAAAAGTGAAGCGTAAAGATGTATTTGTCCTGTTAAAGGGGCGCTAGGCAGTGACACACAATTCGCAGTGTACAACGGCGTAACTCGTGGGGGGGACGTACACATCCGCCTCAAGGCTAGCCGCATAAGTGTAAACACAACTGGCACCCCCAGTTGCGAACCTTCGATTGTTACCCCTCCAGACGCACTCACATATTAGTTTTCCCCCCACACCGAGTTGTATCATTTGTTTTTCACCCCATTTTAAATTCATCGCAATGTGTCCCTAGCCCATTGGATGTCGTCCGCCGTTGCACATTTTTTTTGTCCGTGCCCAGGTTTGAAACGTTTTTGCGTCCCGCCCGCTCTATATTCGTGGTGCATACCCAGAGTGTGCACCTTTTTTCCCTCCCGCGCAACCCCCGATGGCCACCCCGGAGGAAGAGAGTGAGTTCCACCTCATATCGGTTAACAGCCGCGCATGTGAAGATATTCTGAACTCCGTGAAGAAGAGGAGCCGCTGCGAGGTGGTGCCCGTGCATGGCCGCGCGGCCCACGAGGGGCGCGAAGAGCAAACAGAGCAGTCGCATGACACAAGACAGCCACATCCAACACAAGCACGATGGCCCCCGCCCCCCCAGGAAATAAACAAAAAGGCAGTATCCTTCGAGAGCAGGGTGCTGCCGAAGAACAGCGTAGGGGAGGAGGCGGAGCAGGATGGTACCCCAGGGGAAGACGGAACATATGCGGTAAAAATCCCATCGTTAGAAAAAATAAAAAAAAATGACAGTCTATTTTTGAGAAAAAAAAAATCATGCATATATAACGAGACCAAGTACAATAAATTTGTGGAAGCATTCAAACAACAGGAATTAAAAAAAATAAAAAAATTTCATCATGTGTACAAATGGAAAGTAGCATTGGTAATTTTGCTCGTGTTAGCCATTTGCTTCACCATGATTGGCATTTTCATTTATTATGAGTCAAGTCACGTAATTGAAGTAAACATAGAGTATGACTCAGGGGACACGACAAAAACGTTTTCAGTAAAACACCCCATGAAGCAACCAGTGTATGTATATTATAAAATAAGTAATTTCTACAGCAACTTTAAAAATTTCCTTTCAGATGAATCGCAGGCATTGGTTAAGGATATCAGGTGTAAATATATAAAGACATTTGAGGACATATATAGATATAGGTGTGTTAATAATATTCAAACCCTTCCTGAAGTGAATAACGATTTTGGTGTTACAGGTTTGGGTACAAATTCAAAAACGTTAAGAAGCAACGAATCATGTGATGTGAATTCCCTGTCCCCAGAACAAAGACGGAGGAAAATTTTTCCATGTGGTTTAGTATCGGCTTCCATTTTTAATGACAAAATTAAACTTTCCCTGAACAGAAAAATTTTCATCATTGATAAATTTCCCATATTAAATTATTACGACTTTTTTTCGTATATAAAAAAGCATAAAAAATATGCCTCCGATTATAGGGTATGGATTAATACCTTTTCTCCTGATTACAAGAATTGGTTTCATCCTCCTATGACTTCTTCCTTTATTAAGCCTTATGGAGTAATATTTGAAGACTTACAGCCTGGGGACAGTTATAAAATTGAGTTCACACAAAATACGTGGCCTGCAAAACACTGGAAGGCAAAGAAATCATTTCAGTTGGTGTCTTTGCGAGCTGTGGGGAATAGCGCATACGAATTAGCCTACTCCTTTTTCCTCCTAGCAATAATTTACCTCATTGTCATAATCGTTATGCTACTTTTAGTCAAATCAGGATACTACAAATTGGGCAAAACATTTTCCTATTGTAAAATGTCCACTGTTAATAATGTCACTGAGCAAACTTTTTTTCGAAAAAAGTCCAGCCTGAAGAAAATGGCGGAAGCAGCAGCCAGGGCTGCTGCGGCAGAACCGACGCGCCCGGCGAAGGGGGGAGCAGGGGCCTCCCAGGTAGAACCCGATGGCAAACGCAAGAAGGGAAGTTCCTACGAGCGCGTCCCCAGGGCTGTTGGGAGCTGTCCACAGGTGTGTCTGTGCCCCCTGCACTAGGAGGCGGTGTGCACCATCACGTCACCACATCACGTCGCAATTTTACGCGCCCATTTGCTTTTCTTCCCCCTTTTTGTGTGGCCACCCCGCCCTTTTTTTATGTGCCCTTTAATCCATCTCAAGAAAGCGCCTCCCTGTCTGCATTTTTTTTTTTTTTTTTATTACTACACCATTGCTATTATTTTATTTTTCCACCTTTTTGCCTGACCATGCAGGCGATTTTTCCAATTTTGCCCCATTTGGGGGGAAGCCTACCCTGGCCCCCCCCTTCCCCCAGTTTGAAACTCCTCCCTTTGTGTGTGAGTACCTCTGGTGTGCGGTCTCCGATCGTGCCAGCCATTTTGAAGTTGAAAAAATGTGCCACGTGTAGCATGAGCGGTAGCGGCGGCAGCAGCGTTGATTACGTCGACTGTGGCAGGTGTGGTGATGGCCTTTTCCGACCTACACCTCCTCCCCATTTTGCCTCTTTTCACATAAAGGGGTCCAGCGGGGACTGCTCAGCAAAGGTGACAAAGGTTAACTCCTGTTCGTGCTTGTGGGGAACCTGCCCCGACGTACACTGAAAGAGGAGACTCCAAGCGGGGTGCATAAAATTGTAAGCGTACAGCGTGGGTAACTTTTTTGTTGAGTCACTTTTGCGAATGATGTTGGTGTGCCACGTCCCTTTTTTTTTTTTTTTTTTTTTTTTTTGTTCCCCTTCAAATTTGAAACAAATCGACTGAATAGTGGCAGAGCACTGAGAAAGGAGGCACCACTGGGGTAATTCAGCAAAAAAGTGGAGCCGCATAGAAAGCCCCACACCTCAGAAGGAGCATAAGCAGAGGAGGCAATGATAAAATAAAGCCCATCGAACGGTTATAAAAGGATTGACTAAATTAAGTCATACGTGTAGGAACTAGAATTCACATGGCCTCTTTTTTTTTTTTTTGTATTTTTTTTTTGTTATTCCCCGCTGGGCCTTTTTTCTACACCGACGTGACGACGCCTACATCCCCTCCGAAGTGACTGGACTGGAGTGGACTATTGCGCGGTTCGCATCAAAAGTGACAGACCATACTTATTCCTTCCTTTAGAAGGAACTCCATTATGACGAGAAAAGGCAAAGGTGCAAGGAAGATGGCTGTAAAACGCACGCCCCCCTCCCTCCCATTGTTACCACCATCTTCATCCCACCCCAACCATGTTGTACTTCCGAATTAGGCGTGGCCAAGAATACCTGCTATCGCTGAACCGACGGGTAGGAGGAAGAAACAGTGGGATGGGTACAATGGCCAGGTTATTTCTGTCCTCCGTGGGGGGGAGGACACCCCCATCAGCGGGAGGAGGTACGGAAGGGGTGGCAACACGGCAGAAGGTACCTGCACCTGAGGTACCAAATGTGGAGGGCCGAGGTAGAGATGCAGCGAAACAACACCCACGGGCAGACCGTCCAGCCAGTTTGCCATCCACCGAAGCAGATGACGATGCAGTGACGAAGGAAATTTATAAAAAAATATTGAGAGAGCATAAGCTTCTCCGTGGAAGAAGAACTAGCATTAACGACAATAAGAAAAAAAAAAGCAGTGACATGGTGAGGAGTGCAAGAAGTACTACCTCAGTTGATATGCACACGAGTCGTATACGCGAAATGGGCCAGGAGAAAGTTCTCTCGTTGGTAAAAAGTCAATCTCGAGGGGAAATTCAGATTGAGGCCAATAATGGACAAGTGGAAAAAAGAAAAGACCTCACAAATGGAGATCCCCCAGGAGGGAAGAAACCGGATGGATTGATACCCCGCAAAGCTAACCACATTGTTATGAAACCAAAAACAGACACCTCTGTCGAATGCACACAGGACAAAAATATAAACAATATGCTCAACATAAGTAAACACAACAAAATAAGTATCAGTGAAAAAAAAAAAAATGATCATTTTTTTAAAATTTTTTTTTCATCCAAAAAGGTGAAAATAATAAAGTCACAAAACCACCCCATTTTTATCCACCTGTACAAGCTAGCCACTGATGGGAAGTATCGAGAGAAGCAACAAAAAATATTACTGACCTGCAAGAAGATGATCCTGGAGAGAGAAAAAAACCACATTGCACGTATTTACACAAACAGCATCGACAATTTAAAGGACTTTCGTTGCTTCGATAATTTTATACTTTTGTCAAACAGACTGCTCAAACGAGTTGCTTTTCTTTATTCCTTTAAAAACGGCGTCCTGGCTGAAGTGGCGCACACGTTCCAGTACGACGATGTGGGTCTCCCGCGCTTGGCCCTTTGCTTCTACAACGTGAACTGCGGCGGGGGGGGAAGAAGTTACGAAAACGTTAAAGGAGAAGGGGTAGAAGGGGAATATGCAGGTGGCGGGGACCACCCCGATGTGGAGACCAACTTGTTTAATAGAAGAACCCCCACAGGGGTATCCACTGAACTTTTGTGCAACGGAGATATTGGGACGCTCATTAGGAGTTGCTTCCTGCTCAAGTGGCAGTGCGTGTTTAATGTGGAAGGACTGGGCCATATGCAGAGGGGGAAGACTAAGGCGAGCAAAGTGTCACCGTCATCATCAGCATCACCATCATTAGAGGCGGCCCGGGGGGGGAGTACGGGTTGGCCAAATGTAACGACTCCACGCAGTGCTACCCGGAAGAAGCCAAACATAAACGATATTTACAATATCGACTTTTTCCATCCCTTGACTCTGCGCGCCTCGGCGGGCCACCTGCTGGACATCCCCTACAAGAAGATAGCCTTCACCGAGCTGCTCAAATACGCCAGAGAAAACAAAATACTTTTACTCAAGTACAGGATGGGAGGGCGCGAAGGAATTGATCGTGACCGAGATCAGAGCTGTTACGACAACGGAGGTGAGCTGTATGTCCACTATGGAGGGGGGAGCCATTCCGAGCAGATGAAGCCCTTCTTAAATTTGCTCGCCAAAGCCAAGGGGGTGTTTCTCCTCCTGGACAACTGCAATAACATTGAGAAGGAGTACCCAGTGGTTGACCCCAATTATGTGCACACTGGGCCAAATATTCCCCACTCGAATGAAGACAGAACCTTCGAGCGAGTGTACTATGTGAACTTGGTAAACAATAAGGAGGAGCCCCTGGGCGTCGTCGCGGCGTACTCCATCCTTATGTACATCCTCAAGACAAACTTCTTCCGACACGTCCCGCAGTCGTGTTACGTGTGCGCGGAGTGAAACGGGATGTTTGTGGGGTTATACCGACATGGACAGTTGTTTTTTCATATTGGTTGTGTTTTCTCTGATTGGGCATGTGGCTGAAGAACATGCTTGCTTCTCCTGCACAGCTTTGTCGTTGCCGTATCTTTGCCGTAACTTTGCCGCAACTTTGCCTGGCGCTGTTTTTTTTTTTTTTTTTTTTTTTTTTTTTAAAATAAATACTTGTTGGTGAGTCGATAAGTTTGTCAACTATAATATGACACAAAAAAATTTTATCACGCAGGTGGCAAGGGGGGGGGAGTAGGGAGGGTCACGCACCACACGGGGTGATGAGAAAAAAAAGGTTAAACGTGAAAGGCGCACAATGGGGCGGAGTGGAAACATGCGGGCGAAGGGATAAAAATACGTTACAAAAAATACGAAAAAGGAAACGCAAAAAAGGGAATACGAAAAAGGAAACGCAAAAAAGGGAATACGAAAAAGGGAACACGAAAAAGGGAACGCAAAAAAGGAAGCACAAAAAATACGAAAAAATGGAAACAGGGAAAAATACTTTACAAAGGACACACAAATCTCGCGCAAAATAAAAAATAACACAAATGACAAATGACAGGTGACAAATGGCCAATAACAAATGGTAAGCAACAAATGTGTGAAACAAATGTGAGTATCAAATGCAGGTATTATATGGAGTGTAACATATTGTTAATAGCAAATGGCATATATCAGATGGCAAATGAGGGAGAGAGAGAGATAGAGCCCACAGGGACATCCCCCCGCTGGGAGCAGGAGGGCGTACACACACGCAATGGGCGAAATAAAAGGCATAAAAACAAGAGTACTTGAAAACACACTGAAAAGGAAAGTGCACAGGGGGGGAGAAAAAAAATACACATGCATAAAAGGGTACAGAAGCGTAAATAGGTATAGAAGCGTAAATAGGTATAGAAGCGTAAATAGGTATAGAAGCGTAAATGTGTAAACGTGTAAACGTGTAAACGCGTAAATGTATAAAAAGGTATAAATGTATAGAAGCCACCTCGCCACACTACTCCACACCATCGTCACTAAATAAACGCAGAAATATCCAGGAAATGCATATTCGAGGAACGGTCGTCGCTGGCAGTTAGAATGGAAAGGATGTTCTTCTGGTCATACAAGTGTAAAGACAAATGTACGTTGAATATGGTATCTGTGTGACTGTAGAACTGGTGAATGCACTGCCTAGAGCGAATGTCGTAAATATAAATATTCCCATTTAGACTTGAAAAAAGGAGCAAATTTGTGTTGATCCATTTGAGGAAATTTATTCCTTTTTCCATTTGGTTGTTTGTGTCCACTTTATTAAAATCGTAGTTCACAAGGAATTTGTTAATATATTTTTTGCAGTGGTAGTCGTACACAATGATACTGTTGTCGAGGGAGGAGGAAGCGAAGATGTTATTTCGCTTGTTGTTGAAGAGGCAGTAGTCTACTAGGTCGCTGTGTAGGTTATGGTAGGTGCTGATGACGCTGTTATTGCTGACGCTACAGATCTGTATCACGTTTCGGTGTGTGGCCACGTAAATTTCATTCGCGAGGTTATTGTCTATGCAGAGTACGTCGTTGCTGTTGTCCAGCTCCTCGCTCATGATCTGCTGCGCATGGTGCCACTCGCGTTGGTCATGGTTGTACTGATCGTGGTGATACTGCTGCCTCCCGCCGTCTACGCGGCCGCTCTCACCCTTAACCCTACCCTCATGCTTCTTACCCTCATTGCGCTTCTTCAAATTATACACATTATAATCGTACACATGCGTCTCACCACTGTGAAACCCAGCAATGAGATAAAAACTGTTTTCATAATTACAAATGTTAATGAAGGTAGGAATATCCACCGTGTAGGTAATGCTAAGGGGAGTATTCTGCCGTATATTCCATATATATATATTTGGCGAGTCCAGGTATATACTTAAGAGGATTTGTTCATTAAAAGGACAAAACATAAAATATTCAATATCCTTTTTATCATTCGTATCATTTATTGTTAGAATATTTACAAAATTCATGTCCTCGGTAATCCATTCCTTATCTTCTTCCTTTTTAAATTGACTCAAGTCAACATTCCAGTTATAAATGTGAAGCAAAGAATTGCTGTTGTTAATATTTTGTTTAAAATTTGTAATATTGTAATTTAAAATTTCTGACTTGTTCATATTATTATTGTTGTAAATGTAAATGTCCCCATTATATATACACAGGGCGATGTATTTGTAGCTCTTGGAGAATTTTATGTTCGTGACGGTGTCTGTGTACTTTTGGTGCTTCAGGTGCTGCAGGCTGATTTTGGCACTACCGCCGCTGCTCACGCTGCCATTCACGCCGCTAACAGTGCTAACCCCCGCGTGTGCGAAATTCCTCAAGTCGTCATCGAACTTGTTGTACAGGTAACAATTGTTGTTGATACTTCCAAAGTAGATCCACTTCTTAAAGGAGTTGACACAGTATATACTTTTGTTAGCGTAAAACCTCTTGTAGTAAGAAATATTTTGCTCCTTAAATTTTATTAATTCTGCATCTGCTGAGCCATTTGTTTTGTCGCTGCTGTTGTAGCTCGAGTTTTCTTCCTCTTCGTCGTCTTCTCCGTCCACATCAACTGCACTGATGTCGAGCAGGTCGACTTCATCATTCCTCAAATCTTCATATGCCAGATCCTCCTCGATCGCTTCGTTCATCATTGAGGGCTTTTTGTCCCAACTGATGCTGTTCTTTTTTTTTTTTTTTTTTTTTTTTTTTTTTTTTCCCTTGCACACTTGCGCTTTTATTTCATTTAAAAGGGTTTAATTCAGGAGTCACCTTTTCCGTTTGCATCGGAAGAGGGCTGCCTCCAGCGGGGGGGGGGTGGGCAAAAAAAAAAACAAGGAGCCTACTTATAACTTATCCACTTCAAAAGTGAGTCACCCCACACATACACACACAAAAAAAAAAAGAGTTATTAAAAAAAAAAGGAAAATGATAAATAGTATATAATTGGAAAATGATAAATAGTAATAAAATAGGAAAACGATAAATAGTAATAAAATAGCAAAATAATAAACCCAGCAAATAATGCAGCCGCAGAAAACAATTCAATGGTAAAACAGAATTCTTCACACTTGGCAACGAGTAGTAATATTTCACTTCTCAGATCGACCTCCTCCTGCTCCTCCTCTCTCTCCCAATGCTGCCCAGACGCTCGTTCGGAACGATCGACGTGCGCTTCATGCGGGTCTTCACGGGAGAGGGGGAGAAGAGCGAAGGCTTCGATGTGTGCGCGTATGCTCAGCGATAAAAAAAAAAAAATGAAAACAGAAAAAAAACCTTCCTGAAACCCTTCTGGGGAAAAATTACACGCAGGGGGCCTTTCTCACAGATTGGAAAATTTCCTCAACAACAAAATTTTCGACACAGGGGGGGCTCTGCAGCACGCTTCCGTCATCAACACTTAAATGACATGTAAAAACGGGAGAACCTTCCGCGGAGAATAAGCTTTCATTTCACTGGGTGCGGCATATCGTGGCGTATAAATTATCATCACACAAATGTATACATAGTGTACAAATGAGTGATCTATTGCGTAAGGCACTACGCAGCATTTTATTACCACTCTCTCTGTGTCGCAATCCCGTAAGTAATTAAAGTCGAATAGTAAACTTTGTATGCTCAGCAGTTGGCCTTTCACATAATGCATATACGCTTGCCATCGCTGTTGCGGTACACTCGTACACTTCAGAGAACAAGCGAATGTAACTGCATGGTATACTCATTCACACTGGGAAAAGAGGAAACGAAAAATGGCTCCTTCCGCGACTGTTGTAATATTCGCACGAATGGGAAACAGTGAGGGGGGAAAAAAAAAAATGGAAAAAATGGAAAAAATGGAAAAAAAGGAAAAGGTGGAAAAAGGGGGAAAATGGAAAGATGGAAAAGTGGAATAATGGAAATATGGAAAAATGGAAAAAATGGAAAAATGGCAAAAAAAATAATTAAACACAAGTGACAAAAAAAAAAAAAAAAAAGAATGGCCAAGCCAAAAAAAGGAGAGAGCTGATCCAAATAGAGGACCACAAAAGTGGATAAGTCACGAAATGGCTAAAAAAAAAAAATAGTGTTAAAAAAAAAGGGCCCAAAAAAAAAAAAAAAAAAAAAAAGGCTGTAAAAAGGGAGAATTATCCATTTGCAAAACCAAAAAAAAAAAAAAAAAATTTTTTATTTGCTCCCATATATATAAAAATAAACACAATTATACAGGGGAATGGTGGGGAAAAAAAAAAAAAAAAAAAAAAAAAAAAATTAAAAGGGGGAATGGGGGAAAAAAAAAAAAAAAAAAAAAAAAAACACATGCTAACCCTATTCCCCGGTGTACATTTTGCAATTTGCATTTTTTTAAAAAATAGAAAAATGGTCATTGTTGCAACATTTACATTTCGACGTAAATATAGGTCAATTTCCAAAGGTGCAGGAAAACAAATATATTTAGCTTCCAAATCGTGTAAATAGGATTTTAAAAAAATTAATGAATAAAAATAAACTACGCAAAAATAAGGGTATCCTTATATATATATACATACCTCGTCATGCAACATTTTTTTGCACTTCCTCCCTTCATGGTCCCTACTTAAAGCGCCATTACATGCGTTGCATCTCCTCTTCGCGAATTTAGTAACTCTTAATCAGTTGCTCGAGTTAGTAACTCTTGACCATCTGTTCGAACATATAAATGGGTGCGTGTTGCTGCACATCCGTCCCTTTCGCTTTCTTCGATTCGACGCTACATTCCTGATGTGGTGCGCCATTGGTGAAAAGAGCAAATAAAAAATAAAAATTAATTATGTGTGGAAGGAGATTTTTCTTAATATATATTTTCACCTCTTACAGAGGGGATCGAGATGTATATGTGTAACACGGGTGGCATATTTGTTTTTTTCCAGCCCGCCTCTTCGTAAAAAAGAAAGAAAAGGGGGGTGGAAACTGGAAACAGCGTCTGCCCGCGATCCACATATAAGCCCACGTTACTATAACGCCTCGCGGTGAAACCGCGCAACGACGTAAGTGCCCACATGTATACATATGCACAACAATGTGCGCGGGAAAGTTTCTCAGCACCCCGCCCCCCTCTGCTTGGTGGACGAAATTACCTCGCGCTCCTTGGCCAAGGATGTGCAAACCACCTCCTGCACCTGCAAAATGCACGAAAAGGAAGTAAGCATAGGTTGGGGACATGAATGGGATAAACATAGCATCATCAGGCAATTTTTTTTTTTTTTTTTTTAGATCTTTTTTTGTGCCATGGGGAACAGCCTTCTTTAAAGCATGTATAAAAGCTGCTCATGTGTGGATTTTCCATGTGGCCATTTTTCTCTCGCCCCTTCCCCCCTATTACCGCTTCACGCGTTAGAGGTTCCCGTACACACGCCCGCACGTCCTCGGTCAGCTGCGATAAGGGGAAAAAGGAAATGTGGGAAAAAAATGAAATACATTTTCCTGGTGAGGAAAAATGCGATAAATCGTGCGTGGGTTTCCGAGTAGGCGTCTCCACGGTTGGGTCGTCGCTGCAACCACTTCATCACCTGGTCGTATAGCCACCGCTGGAACTTCACCGGGAAGAGGTGGAAAATGCCAAACTCGTCCAATGGCAACACATATTTGATGTAGGTGCCCAGGTCAATTTTCCTCTTCTTGTGGTAATGCAAAATTAAATTTCGTATTTTTTTTCTTATCTTTGGCTTGCTATAGCCTGTCCTGTACATGTAAAATAGGATTAGCATCAGCTGTTCACCGGTGTAAAGAGTCGCATGTCTGTTCATGTGATTAAACAGCTCAATGTAATGCTGCTTTATTCGAACTCCATTGTTGCATATGGTTATGTACAGGTCGAGGTAATGTTTAGCCTTCATATGTGACAAATTGGAGAGTGCATTATTCACCATTTTGTTAAATAGAAGGTGGTGGTCCTGGTCTGCCTTTTCCGTGTCCCCATTTAGGTCCAAAAAATAATTACAATGTTTAAGGCACAACACCTGGAGGGGGGGTGGAAAGGTCTCATAGTTCTTCGCGACGTATTCTTTCAGACGATTTTTTATTTCCTTGCACATTTGTCTTCTAACAAAAACGTGACTAAGCAATGTGTACTTGAGCAGGGAGAAATCAAGAACGCAGTTTTGCATTATGTAGGACATTTGCATTTTAAAGTAAATGGGAGAATAAATATCGAAATAGCTAAAATAATGCAAAAGGGGGGGGATGTATTTTATGTCTTTTTCGTGCTTGGTGAAATTTTCATTAAAAAGGGAAAACAGGTAGGTGATGAACTTTTCATGATGAATGTTCAGAATTTTTTTTTTTTTTTTTTTTGGTGCATTTGAAAGAGGGTAATATAAAAGGTAGAAAATTTTCATCATTCTCATGTTATACTTTAGACTATTAAAGATGGTTTTCCAATTATTTTTTGTTTCATTGGGGATGTGCAGAAAGGAATGATCGTTCCGCAGATCCATATTATTTATCAGCTCCTCTGTTTGTTCCTCTGCACTTTGCGAATCATCATTTTCTGTTTTTCCCCCCCCTTGCATTTGCTTGACCTCGTCCGCCTTGCAGTTAATCAGCTTATCATCGTACAGGTACAATAAGACCTCGTTCATCGTGTTGACAAAATTGTCTATATGGAGTTGATTGTACTGACTTTTCCTGAAGAGGTTAATTTTGTTTATAATGCTACGGGGTTGTTGCTGACTGGGGAAGTTACCCTGCTGCACACCTCTTTCATCTGCTGAACTGGCCAGGGAGTGATAATTTTTCGCGAGCAAAAATAACCCAAACAGGAGGTCATCCCCATGTATGTACTTTTTTCCGTTGTTAAAAATGGCACAAATTTTAAGCAACAATGGGGGAAGGAAACACACGCCATTTTTTAAATAAATCAACAAAAGGGATATAAAATCCTTGATGCTCATCTCGAACAAACAATTCTGAATGTAATTTTCCACGTAGTAAATGTCCTTGTACGTAAATAAGCCATTTTTACCTTTGTAATAAAAAAAGAGGAGAAATAACTTGGGACACGAAAAACACACATTTTGTGTTTCGTCGCCTTCTGCAACAGCGGAGTTATCATCCTTCCCACTTGTTGCCTCCTTCCCATGAGTTACAAACTTCATGTTGTTGTATACAAATTTATCAATAAGTTCATTTTTATATCCAATTTTGCAAAAGACTCGTAAAATGTTCACCATGTTCGCTGCGTTCATATTTTCCTTGTTGTAAATCACCTGAACGGTTAATATATTTTTTAATTCCTCATCCATGTACTTGTGGTATGCGTACACTGCGGGCATCAGCATGCACAGGTCGTTGCCCGTTGCGTTGTGTAGGCATTTTTTTAAGTTGTCAAAAATTAACTTTATCAAATTTTCCACGAAGAGGTGGCTGCTCGCCTGGCGTGTAGCACAATCCCATCCATTTTCCTCGTCCCATTGTGTGTGCAACTGGTCAAGCGGTGATTTTTTTTTTTTTTTTTTTTCTTTTCCACCTGCACGGTGGTGTTGTCCATTTTGGCTAGCTGGTCAAGGGAGTTATCTCCACCCTGTTGAAGTGGCACTTCGGTTATTTGCCCTTCTTCCCTCGCCTCACTCCCCTGGTGGAGTTTCCTCAGAAGGGTTAACAATTTTACGTTGTCCAGCACAGATAAGTCAAACTTGTTCAACAACAACACGTTGCAGTGATAAAGTAGGAAGGGTCTCAAGGAGAAGGGGATCTCGAAGGCTGTCCCCAATATTAGCACTCTCTCCAAGGAAGCAATTAATTTTTTATTTGTTAACCCTTTATTTTGGTCGGTTTCCCTCCTGAGTGTGCGAATGAAGTTGAGGAGGATGTGCGTAATGTTGTCTCGTACGTCGGGAAAAAAAAGGAATACAAGTTCCTTCCTTGTTTGTTTTTTTTTCTTCAAAAGTAAGTGCGTGTAGAAGTTGTACAGTACGTAAATTGTGTCAACTGCGTGGAAGTTAAAATGGAAGTCCTCCATTAAATGTGCGCGCCTTAGTGAATACCTTCGTGCAATGTCGGCGGGGAAAGAATTAGCTGGTGTCTTCCCATCCGCACAAGTGTCTAGCATATCCTCAGTGTGAGTTGGAGCGTTGCCAGGTGCATGTCGCACGTAACTCACATAGTCATCCGACGTGCCTTCCTCCCATTTGCATTTCACTTCCGACACGTCACCCAGGGGGGATGAGGACAACAAACCCTCGTTAAGACAGTTCCGTGGGGAAGAATCATCCTGTGTGGACCCCCCTTTGCCTCGTATCATATCCCCAAGAGTAGCTATATGTTTTATGTAAATATAATTCATGCTGTACAGATAAATAATATCCTCGTCCACGTCATAAGTGTAAGTTTTTTTCAGTGGACAAAATTTTTTCCCGAAAAAAAAATGTGTGCATATGTTTATGCACGTGTTCATGCTGTCTATCTCTTTGTAGTACAGCTCATTGTCAGATTGAATCAAAGCATACATGTAACGTATGACCTCTTTAAAAAAGGAAAAGACATTTTTCCTCAAATGGTCACTCTTGTCCGCATGGTGCCATTCACTCAGATCGTAATTAAAGGCAATTCTTTTAACAATGTCCACAGAAAAAAAGTGAATGTTCTGACTTACGTGTTTGAGTAAGTTGCTAAATTCTTCTTTCATATTGAGAGTTTTTATAATATCTAAAAGGAGCATATAGCTGTTGATGCTCATGAATTTTTTTTTTTTTTCCCTTGCTTGTTTTTCTCCTCCCATTACAGGGCAATCCTCTAGGTAATCATTCACGTAGCGCAAAACGAAGTTCACATAGTACCTGATGCGGTCGTCACATGTGTCCATATTGCCCTTCACACATAGTGTGTGCAAATTTTGAATGACCTGATCAACGTGTTCGTTGTCACTTCCCCTCTCGTTGGAGAATCCATGTTGCTTGCCGCAACTAACACGGCATCCCTTCAAAAGGGAATTAATCTCGCGTATTTTGTCATTGACATAGATCTGGTTAAAAATTGAATTGATGGAGTTTCCTTTCCTTGTTAAGAAATCGTCATCCACAATGTGTTCATACACCAAAGTTTTCCTGCCGCTGAATTTGCGGCAGGCAACACCCCTCCCTTTTAGCTTCGGTGGGTAGGAAAAAACGGTTGGCCAATAGGTCAAATGTTTGCCTGGCACAAACGGCCCTTTAACCCAGCATCTCATTCGGGGAACTGTGGACGTTGTGGTTTGGGGGCGAATAGTTTAGCTTAAATGCGACAGCATGGCCCCTTACACCAGCTCACTAGCGGCAGAAGCTTACATAATTTTTTTTTATACGTTGCCATAAGCCACTCCACTTGAATGGCTCTTATCATATGTTAGAAGAAAAAAAAAAAAAAAAAAAAAAAAAAAAATTTTGGCTCCTATATATGAAGTTCTGTTTTGCCCTTATTCGTAAAAGGTATCATATGGTGCCCGATTTTTTTTTTTTTAAGAAAAATGTAACAAAGTGTTGCACAGATTGGACCACGAAAAAAAAAAATACACCGCACAAAAGGGGACCTACGCAGAGTCATTCACTCACAAGATGGGATATCTCTACACACGTATGATTAGCGGCTCTACGTGGTGCGTGGCGAGGTCGTGGCGTTGCGGCCACGGGGGGCTTCTACCACGCACAGGCATAGGATATACACAGGTCATCTACAAGGGTTATTATATGTATTACACACTTATGGGGCCTCTTTCGTCAGCGTGTATATTGTAGCAGCGCGCTTTTACTTCACATAATTAGGGTTCTGTTACACATCGCATGGGGGAACGAGTCAAATTGGGGGGTCTGTTTTAATTACCAACAAATTAGTACTTATACCAACTTGTCCTTGGGATTCCGGTTAAGGAGCTCATTTTTTTTGGGAACCTTGTCTGTGCACATTTCGTATTGGGCCCATGTATTCGCCTAATTATGGACGTTTTTTTTTTTTTTTTTTAAAATACTAAATTGTACAATCAAGCGTAAAAATAAACTTATGGCTACATTTGAGCGGACAGCAAAAAAAAAAAAAAAAAAAAAAAAAAAAAAAAAATACAGGCTTGGCTCGTCATATGCATGTAGAGCGCAGTGCTAGGAAAAAAAAAAAAAAAAAACGGGCGAACAACGTTGCTTTGGGACGAGTTTGTTTCACGTTTGTTCTTCTTCGAACAATTTGTTCGCGTCACCAGTTTATTCTGTTCCTGCTTTTGGTTGTCACTGCCTGACTTGTTCTGTGGACCATTTTTTTTTTTTTTTTTTTTGCCTCGCCATCAACGCTGCAGCCGCTCACAACAACGTGACACCAGCTGTTACAACACCAAAGAGATGTAACACCACCCACTAGCTGGGAAACCTCGAATGAGCAAGAAACAAAAAAGGGAACACACACATGAACATGACTGCGGCAGGGCCATCACCATGACTCGGATGTCGTCCAAGGAGAAGCAGTTTCGTCACCAGAGGGGATCCAAAAAGGGTCACCCAGGATGAATTGATCTCAATAGGGAGAAAAAAAAAAAAAAAAAAAGAGAAAGTAAAAAAAACAACAACAAAAACAAGAAGAAAACGCAAGCGCCGTATTATTCCCCCCACGGTTGTCCGAACAACCCAAGTGGAGATGGTTCTGCGCAACAACAGGGGAGAGGGTTGCGACCCAAGGAAGAGGAAGGCGCAGGGGGGTGCGGTCCGCATGGAATTGGCGAACCGCTCTTGCCATAATGGCTACGTGACGCATGACTACGCGACGGATGACTGCGCGAAGGAGGACTCCATGAAGGATGTCACTGGTGAGGGGCGCGCTCGTGCCATCACTGCAACCACGTGTGGGTTCCCGTGTTTGTGCCACGGTGAGGGTTCCTCTGAAGAAGGCCCACGACTGCTCCTCACGCTGCCAGAGAGCAGCGCGCGAACAGAAACGCGCAGGCACCCCTCCCCACACGCAATCACCCCCGTGCTACCCCCCTCCCCACAACTGCGTGCAGAGTACCAAGTAAAGGAGTTGACCAAGTTAATGGACAAGTACGACGTGCGAAAAAACTTCGCTTGTTTCGGAGGACCCTTTACCAGGTTTGCAAATGAAACTTACACATTTACACACAGATACTTCAAACCGCATTTAGGAATACATATGAACACATATTTATTTAATGACTTTATTTTCATTAAGAATTATATTAAGATTATAAAATTCTCCAGGTGGCACATTCTTGTGTATCTCTCGGACAATAAAATATATGTCTACAAGCACAGTCGGTCCTTGTGGCACTTGGACCATTTTAACGAGTGGAAGCATTTGCCCATTCCAACTTGTAACGAAATAAAGGATATTCAAATTGTGTCGTGTGATTACAAAGGAGATCTCTACTTTGACTTTCCTAAGGGAACAAATTATGCTCTCCAGGATGATTACCAGTTCTGTGGTTCTACACACCAACATGAGACCATCGATCCGATTCACTTCTTCGGAATTAGCTTAGTTGACAGCAGGGATAATTTATACTTAGGGTTGAACACAAATGTTAATGCTAGTAGGATCAACATTAAGCAAATGAAAATGATTATTCCTCGTTCGTTTGAAAAGCGCAAATTGAGAATGAGGACCATTTTGGTCAGTCTACCCGAGCTCAATGAATATGACCTACGCTCTTGCGCCGTATATTTGAAATACGCTTCCATATTCGAGCTCTCCTATACGCGTCGTGGTAATCACACTGGTGGGAGGAGAGTCAGTTGCCGCAAGCAGGGCATAAATAACGCGAGAGAATCTTCCAAGGGTCACCAATCAGATGAAGCAGCAGCTACATTGCATGTGGAAAATACAAAATACGAAATGGATACAAATGAGGGTTTTAATGTGGATTACAGAAAAGGGTTGAAAAGGAAGGGGAGAACTGCGCACAGGGGTAGGGTGGCCTCTCAAATGGTAAAAGTTTCAACAAAGGGGAAGAACAAAACAGGTGGTTCTACAAGTAAACCTGCCTTCCGTGGGGATAAACTCGGCGGAAGTACACACACCCAAGAGGAGACACGCGCCGCAGATTCACTCAATTGCGCTGTGGGTGAAATGCAAAGGGGGGAAGACCATCATGATCATATGACCAGAGAGCGCGCTAAGAAGAAAAGGCGAATTAACCATGCCCAAACGGGCGGCCACCCTGGTCAGGTACCTCACAGTAGCAGTTTGTCCAACGGGGGGAGGAGAGCGACAAAATGTGCAACAGCTAGAGGTGGCACGATTAACCCGTCTAACATGGATGACCCGCCTAACGTGAATGACGCGCCAAGCGCAGGCACTTCCTATCGAGCTACGCAAAAGAAGGATCATTTCATTTTCATAAAAACTTCAAACAATATGAAGTTTAAAAAGAGGCTGATACGGTCCAAACCAAAGGTGCTGTTAAGCGGAACATCCTGCGCACATGGCTGTGTGTTGTTTGAAAATAAAGAGATTTATTTTTGGGTTTGTGGACAGGGGGGATCACTTGTAGAAGATTCGGTGAATGCGGAGAAGGTGGTCGTGTCTAGCAAATTCTCCACACATAAGGGAAGACAAAACAAACGATTTACTTTTAAAAAATTGGAGTACCCCAAACTCAACATCGTCGATGTAGTCTACTGCAACAACACTTACATTATGCTGTCTGAGGATAACATCCTGTTCATTTTAAAGTCCCCATATTTGCATACCCTTCGAGCGGTGAATTTTTTCTTTTACCTGAACAACTACCTACCAAAGGGAGTAAATCCTAAACGCACAAGCGGGGTCCTCACTCTGCAAAAAATTAGAGACTCCACTTTGGTCAAAATGTACCTTACAGACTACATATTGGTGACGGTCCACAGCAGCAAGGACATTTGCTTTACCCCCATTTTGTTTCACAGTGTGTATAGCTACATGGACGCCCAGTATATTGACGTCCTTTCTACGAAGTACGAGCCGCAGGTACGTCTTTTCCGACTGTGGGGTAACTCTCCACTTGAGGGGAGGCGACTACTCAATTGGCAGAGCTGAGTGAGCGCTCAAGCGGGCGACCATACGTGTTCTGCTCACCATGACACGCGGCCTCCTTCCTCCTTCCATAGGTGACCAAACTGATAAAGGATCTGGGAAAGTTTTGCACACGGGGTCTGGAGAATCAATTTTCGCACGAAGAAAAAAGCATGTACCCAAATTTGATAAAGTACAAAATGATTCGCACCTGCGCCCAAAACAAAAACTGCTTCACCATTTACGTAAGCCCGAACTCGCTGATCGTGTGCATTTACAACTTATTTGAGTATTACCAAGTGCTGGACACGTCCATATCGAATTTTTTGAGTAAGTATTACATTATGTAGCGCGACGTCGACGTTGTGTGCATCCTCTCCCTGTCTCAGTTGATCTCTGTCGCCTTTGTCGTCTGTTTGTTTGTTTTTCCTCCTGGACCATCTTTTATTTGTTGTCCTCTTTCCCTGTGCTTTAATATGCTTTACTGCGGTTTGCAGCGCTTTATTGTGCCCTGCCAAGTTATACATGTAAACAAACCTATCTTTTCTGCAACACGATTTGTTTTACCCCCTTTTTAAACGCACGCATTTGTGGAGATAGCCGTTGCTCGGCTGTCACACAGTCGAATGTTTTCTTAAATTCGTCCCTCCCTTGATCTCGCGTGTGGGCGATGCGCACGATGTATACGCCGACGGCACACGTTACACGCTACACGGACAGAAAAGAAAACAAGAAAGCACAACAGTTTTTAAGGGTTTGGAAGATGCATATTTTAAAATTTTCCACCCAAGTCCACTTTTGTGTTCTTCCGCGCCGCCAGCATTTATTTGGTGGTAATCGCGATGGTAATAGTACAAAAAAGGGACATTTTTTGCCTGAACAGAAATTGCGCTAAAATGGCTAGTTTTTTTTTTTTTTTTTTTTTTTTTTTTTTTTTTTGTTGGTGGGGGCAATACAAATAACAGGGCGTGTAAAGAACAAAAGAGCTATTTTTCCCGTTGTCCAATTTTTTTTTTGCTTTTTTTTTCTGAACAGGTCATGCGAAAAATTCACAAATGTATGAACCAACAGTGGTGCTTTTTTTTTTTTTTTTTGTTTATAAATTTTTCGCTAATAGAGAAAATGTGTTGTCGAGATTTGGCGGTAACCAGGTCCAAAACGGCACACGCAAAGGAAAAAACAAAAATGTACAACTGTACAAATGTGTAAATAAGTTAAACAGGTAAATAGGTGAATGTGTAAATGTATAAATCTGCATAGACATGTTACACACACATCTCGCGTTTTTTTTTTTTTTTTTTTTTACGGCTTTGCCTGGGGCGGACAAATTATAGCACTTCGATCTAACGCAAAGTTGAACAGCCAAACTACGTATACATTTTAAATTCCCCTGTTGTGCGTCAAAACTGTGCCTTTTTTTTTTTGTGAAATTTGTAATTTGAAAATAGGAAAGCTTGCCCCCTTGGTGACGTACCTGTTAAGCCCGTTTATTGTTCCTCCCAGGGCTCTTAACGAAAGCAACTGCGAGGAGTGAATTGACACAAACGAGAGTTGGTCACGCGAGTTTTTCCCATTTTGTCCAAATAGACGAAACACAGACCGAGTGCGGCCAACTTATCCCAAATCGGATTGCCACCATAAGTGTCTACATGGGTATCTGCATTGGGTCCATTTTGTCCTGTTAAAAGATAAGTGGACGCATGAGCGGACCTTTCGTCTTTAAAGGCGATACAAGATGCAAAACATGTAGAAGAAAAAAAATGCCCACTTCGTGTCACTCTTTGCAGTTAAATGTGGATAGCTCTTTTTTCACAGATTGACGCTGTTATTTTATTTGTTTATGTTACCGATTTGTTCCTTTCAACCTTGTGTGTTAAAGTATAGTGTAACCCCGGTTTGCTCAGCAACGCCACTTTTTTTTTTTTTTTGCTTCCCAATTTTTCTACCACACATTTTATGAATAGCTGTGTAACCATGTGTGACAGCATTTGCAAAAATGAAAAGAAGTTTGTGTTGGGGCCTGCCCCCTCGCCTTGCACCACGATGGAGGACTACGCCGTTTTTGAAGTAGGACTTCTTCGCGAGAGGAGAGGCCTCAACGCACGCCTCTTGTGCGTGTTACCACCTCCCATGCAGCAGTGTTAATTTGCATCCCTAATTTGTATTCCCCTTTTCCACCCCAGCCCGCAGCAAACCCCGTTATAAAAAACATAGTCCAGGAAACGACAATCCATGTGCCAAAAATAGAGTACAAGGAAAAAATCGTCCACGTGCCAAAAGTTGAATACAGGACGTACCCCGTCCTGAAGGATGTGGAAGCGCCCATATACCGAGAAAGGTACAGGTACAAAAATGTCCAGGTCCCGCAAAAGAAGTTCAGGGTCAAGCCCGTGTACAAAGTGGTAGACGTACCTCAGTACAAATATGTTAATAAATATGTGAAGAGAAAGTATAAACGATTTCAATACGTACCAAAGGAAGTCCCTGTCCCTTTTAGACCCAGGAGAGAAATTTATACAGAAATTCCGATCCGTAGGTATATCCCCCAATATATGGAGGAAAATGGTCGCATAGAACCAGACATGAATAATAGCGCTTATAACCTTCAGGGAGAATTACCCCTCTTCGAAGGGTACAATGATAATTTTTTAAATTTGTTGAATCCTTTTAGTAGTTATACGAACAAGAAACAGGATAACTGCTTTTTGAGCTGCCTTTGTAATGGAAAGAATGAGGAGTCATTAATGTATGAAATGGATCCTCTTCTCTTTTCTAATGCAGTTTATGCACAAGGGAGGGACAAGGTGTACGAGGTGAGCAGCGGATATGAATTTTCCCCCGAGCAGTACAACACATTTGCGTATAATAATTACCCACTTGTTATACATAAACGGGGAAATAATTTGTATGACCGAATGATAGAGACCACCTCCAACTTGCTAGCGGCAGCTGGGGTGGCTCTCGTGCTGGCTGGCAAACTGGGTCTGCAGGGAATATCTCTCCTCGTCGGCGGTGCTGACAGGGAAAAAGGGGGCCACACTGATGTTGCTGGTGTTGGTGCGGGTGCCGTTGTTGGCGGCCCTGGCGCCGAGCCGTATGTGCTTGATGCAGGTCGACGTGACACGCTCAAAGACACGCAGGTTGATGAAAAGCAAATAGAAGATCATAGTGGGAGAAACACCATAAAAAGGGCAACCAGATAGGGGTCGAGTTTTTGCACTTTTTAACAAGGTGGAGCAAAAGGAGAAGAACCCCTAGCAATAATTAAAAGTTGACCCCATGTTGCATGGCCCAAATGGAGATTTCTGGTAATTAGGCGTGTGTAGATGAACTCCTCCCAGTTTTAGCCACGACGCACATTTGCACATCACAGAGTGGAAGTTAATTTGTACCACTTACACAAGTGGGACGCAAACGGTTAACAGGCGAGTTACACCAGAAAAAAAAAAAAAAAATTCTTAAATATTATTCGATTTATAATATTTAATACATTTTACATGGTCTCTTTAATATTTTACGTTACATTATACATGTCCTTTTTTTTTTTTTTTTTTATTGCTCCACGGGGCGTTTTTTTGTTTCCCCTTTTTATTGTACGAACTTAATTAAACCTAGGAGGGGATCTTCCACCCCACCGTTGCTCACTCACCCGTCCTTATATTTTCCTGTGTGTGTTAGCGACGCGGTGTTATACATTATGACTGGACCAAACGTTTTTTCCTTTTTTTTTAAAAAATACCACGGCGTTTTTTTTTTTACACCTTGTTATATTATGCCTTTACATTTGTTCCTCCTGTTTGTGAGGTACATCAACCTGGCGCGTCCACTGCTCAGGAAAAAAAAAAACGTATCTCCCCAATTCAATATATCGTGCGGTATAAAAAAGAAGAAAAAAAGGCTAACTGGTTGCCCCTTCAGTTTGTTATGCATCCCTGGGACGGTCAACTTACGCAACTCCTCACACCATTTTCGAATTTTTTTTCCTTCATCGGTGAAAAGTTTCACTGCGCCAAACACATGTGTTCATCTTAGCATGTGCATTATATGCACGTGAATTTTTTTTTAATACCCCCCCCAAGTTGGTACTTTTCCATTTCGCAAAATTATCACATACATGTACATACAGGTGCGTGTTACCATATGCATACTTTTTTTCCCCCCCCGACGAATGAGGCTACGGCTACTCAGTTTCCCCGCGCGTAAATATGTGAGCAGCACATGATGTAATAATATATGTGACTTTTTTTTTTTCCCCTCATTTACACTGATTTGCTTATACCCCTTCGCGCTGTTAAACGCATGTGGCCCGCGCCCCCCTTTGGAAGTTTTTTTTGAAGATCGAAAACACAGAGCTGAAGAATCGCCGCAGTAATAGTGGTACGAACGTCCGTACAGCTCATAGTCTGTGTGAAACCTACAAATACACCCACGTGTACCATCTGCTCTGCATTCGCGCAAACATGTTTGGAAGGGGCCTTGGGCGAGAAATACTTAAGCGGGTCACTGGACACCCGTGTATGATCCCCCAAATGGGCCATGTGAGAAACGAAGTGAAGAACGCGAGCATGATCACAAAAAGAGGAGTATCCTTTTCACGAATACATTTAACTCACTACCTGGAGGATTATTATACTTCAGCGGAAATTGCAACGAACATGGTGTCACCCATGTCTGAGTACGTTTGGTGGAGCTGGCTTTTCCTACAGGTGAAGAGGAACATCGGCTGATTATAGTGTGTACCGACTGGAAAAAAAAAAAAAAAGCGCCTTTGTGTATAACACATATGGGCAGCCGCATCATTTTGTTACGTTACAAAATTTACAATTTTATTAATACCTTTTTTTTTTTTTTTTTTTTCCCCCTTTTGCAAAAATGAACAGGCCGCCATAGTCTTTGGAACCTTGTTCCATTCCAATTATTACTTCACGGGCAAGGCTCTGCCCAAAGTACAAGGAAACTCTCAGTTGTGTGAAGATTCATGGTGATGTCTTTTCTCCATGTAAGGAGGCATTGCTAGAGGACGCCCTCCACCAACACCCCATGGAGAGAATACCTCATTTAAAAACTGTTTCCATTTTTTTTTTTTTTTTATTTTGCTCCATTGTGTAGTATGTCCTGTGCGTATCTCCTTCCCGCGTCCCGCTTTATTTTTCATGTAATTTATTATTTTTTTTTTTTTTTTCACAACGGTGAGGAATATAACACATTTTTTTTTTTGAGGATAATTAACGCTCAGGAGGAGGTTCGCCTTGATAGGCACCACAGTACGGACACTTGGGTGTGGGTCCACGGGGCTTGAAATATGCAACTTGCCCATCGAGACATGTTCTTTTTCGTTAAGACTTTATTAAAATGGTACACATAAAAGGGTGTGTGCGTGTGTGTGTACATATGTTACGTGTGTAGGTGGTGGTGGGAGGAAGAGGAGGGTATATACGTGAGCTCCCATTCCTACACGCGAAACGCCTGTTCACTTCACATTTCAGTGGGCACTCAATTCGGCTTGTCCATTTTAACGCCGTCTCCCCCCGCAACACATCCCAATAGCGCAAAAGGGTACATTTTCGGAAAGGGAAAAAAAATTTTAATTCAAATGGGAGAGATTCCCCAAAGCAGTTTTGCAAAAGCAGATGAAGCGATATCAGCAAATGGGGTGAAACACGAAGAGGAAAAAAATGTCCCAACGTGGTTAACAAAAAAAAAAAAAAAACAGAAAAGAAAAAAAAAAGGGGAAAGCTCATTCGTGAGACTTCACAGAGGGGCATATATACCTTGTGCGGAAAAAAAAAATAAATAAAAAAAAAAAACGAATTGTCTTGGCACCCCAATCAAAGAGGTATTGCAAATCACTGGCAAAGTTCACTTCACCCGACGTACTTCTTTACATCTGCATGAGCAAACATCATTTGTGTGGATTGATCTGCAGAGAAGGGGGAATAAATACGTCAACCGAGGGCCCAGAACTCATCCTCGTACATGGACTTGCTGCTTTCTTTAGCCTTCATGTCTTCGTTAAACATGACTTCAAAATTTTCATTCTTTGCCTGTTCATTCAGTTGTTGGTACTTGCCGTTATACAAAGCATAGCTAGCGGCACTTCCAGTTACGAGAAAGAGAAGACCCATTCCACTGGCGATGTATGTTTGATTAAACTTTGGTGCACCTCCATTTCCCGCTCCGGTATTGTGTTTTTTTTGTCTCCCTTCACTGTTGCTGTGTTCATACTGATTTTGTTCCTGTTCGTTGAAGCTGTTATAATTTGTATTTCCCTCTGTATTATTTGCATTTTGGCCTTCTCCAGAGGTGCTTGAAAAATCCTCAAACTTATGTTCACGGAAATTCCTTGCTCTTTTGGGCATACTGAATGGGGCTGCGTCCGCTTCTTCATGTGCGAGGTTGTGACTGCTCAAATGTGTTTCATCCGTTTGTGCTTCATCAATGTTATTATGTGGTTCATGCACAGCATCTTGGTTGAGGTGATTTTCATGTATTTCGTTGTTCGCATCACTTGCGAAGGGTGACTCTTCAGAGGAGGTCGTGTCTGTCAACATATCGTTGTGCTGCTGCACAGTCGCATCCGCCTCGTCAATGTGCGCGAAACTTTCGCTCATGCCGTCCTGTTTTCCTTCCATATGAGAATTTCGTTGGAGGAAACTCGGTTGGCTGCTATCCCCCGTGACGGGTAAATTGCTTTCTTCCTCCAAGGTCTCTTCGAAGTTGTCATCATGCTCATCGTCATCATGATCATGATCGTAATTGTTAAAATAAATGGTGGTATTATTTCCGGTGTTTTGTTCGTTTGACTTGTTTGGATCACAATCCTGATCTTCCCGAATGAAGGGACAGTTAACTACTATTCTGTGTCTCTTTCCATTTTTACAAGCAGACCAATCTCCCCAAACGTCACACACTTGGCAGGTTACCTCATCTGTTACGGATTCGTCCGTTAAACATATCCTGGTGCTAATTCCGTTCTTGCACGCAGACCACGAATCCCATTGTTCACACTTCTTCTCGTCATGTGACTCGCACCTTATTTGTACCAACGAAAAAAAGAAAACATTTAACAATAATGACTTGAAGCTAGCCATTTTTACTTTATTCCATTATTTGGAAAAAAAAAAAAAAAAAAAAAATTGGCTGTTTTTTAGTTGCGATTTGCCTGTCCTGTTCAGGCAATCTCGACAGCTAGCTTAAAAGCACACGCAGGAAGGGTGAAACTAACGCACACACAAAATTGTGTAAAAAGCGGGAACATAATATGCTGAATTGTGTAAAAAGGGCAACACCCGCACAGGAATGTTAAAAGTACATGTGCAAATGTGTACGTACTTTATAAACACATCTATGGTATGCGGTGCTTACGCGGGCGAAGGCAGACAAATGCGACTATACGCCGTTCGATTTGCGCAAAACCGGAGATATGAAAACAAGGCGAGAATGTGCCAACTAACGAAATTGCTATAAAAAAATTAAAAGAGAACAAAAAAAAAAAAGCGGAGAAAAATCATATTTTTCTATTCCAATGATGCTGCTCTAATGAATTTCACCAGCAACAACAATTTGCTACTCACAATTCGGGTGAACAGTGCAAAAGTTTGAGCAGCGATGAGGATGCAAAAAAAAAAAAAAAAAAAAAAAAAAAAAAAAAAAAAACGCGGTTAACACGAATCTAGCATGCAGACGGATAGTCGTTCTACACGCACAGCCATTTTTTTGCAAATTTGCATTGTCATATGCAACGCAGCTGTGTTCGTCTTTCTCATCAATGAATGGAAATGTAAAAAAAAAAGCTAAAAAAACTTCGGCGGGAGAAAACAATGTACTGGTAAAATGTGTGTGCACGAAGCTTTACAGGGGTTTAAAAAAAAAAAAGCAAAAAAAAGGATGGTATGATATTTTCCAAGTCATAAAAAAGACTAGTAAATGTTTTCACTCCAAATAGTGTGTGGGTATAATGATCAAGTGAATGTGATGGGGGGACACAGCGCGAAGGCACTAGATGATGCTCACTAGTGTGCCTCGTCCGCTTTTACGCGTTTGTGTTTCTATTATTCCCCTTTTTTACTCAATGAGGCGTTCACGCACGCGTAAGGGAAAGTATGCCCGCGGTCATCACAGGGGGGAGGGTGTGCATTCGCGTAAACGTGTGCAGAGCTGTAATGGAAATCTCAACGCGCGAAGTGGAAAAAAAAAAAAAAAAAAAAAAAAA